TCGAAAATTTTGATAAAAATTACTGCTGTTCTGATTCAGAATCTTCTAGCTCTGAGTCTGAATAATCTAGCTAGTCCAAAACGAGTCGAAAGGTGTTTTGCATGATCATTAATTAGATTTTTTTGCTAAACCATATATGCAATGTCTTCGACCAGATTATGCGACAAAAATTTATCAAAAATTAATGTGTATTGCAGGCTACGTCTTGAACTTTGTATTTATTTCTGCATGTATTAATAAAAAAATTTCTTGGCAAATTTCGGCGACAGACCCGTCGCCTAAAACATGTGATATATTTTTTTATTTTGAATGCTTATATACAGTGTATTAGTTTTATATAGATCATGTCGTCCGAACTTGAAGTATTGAAACAGCGTATCATTGATCTAGAGGCTGAGAACTCTAAGATTAAAGCTGAGAAAGCTGAACTTGAAGCTAGGAATGCTAAGCATCTAAAGCAGGTTATGAATGACAATGCTAAGCTTAAAACCAGAATCGAGGAGCTAGAAAAAAATAATGGAGTTACCACTAAACTCGAATCTGAGAACACTGAGCTTAAAGCTAGAGTTGCAAAACTGGAAGAGGATTACAGGCTGATGCAAAACGATAATGCTACCATGGTAACTGGACCTTCTAACAATAATTCACCTAACTTCAATTCTAATATGTTATTACTCAAAGAATTAATACTAAAAGTTTCACCTGCCAGCTCCAAGTCATCGGAGATAGTTGCTTTCTTGGACAGGATGCATAAGGAAAAGGTTAGTGATAAGATTAGACAACGCAATAGAGAGAAGAAACTTCAAGCTTAAGAGTCTCTTCTAATACCTTCTGAAGAAGAAAGGCCTCAAGTTCTCAACTCTGATATTCAGCCATGTAGTAGTTTAATATCTGAAGTCAGTGAGAACGTCAACCTAGGTTGTTCTACCTCCGAACCAGTGATCCATAATCAAAAGAGAGTTTCCGAAGGTAGCAGATCACATAAGAAAAAAGGAATAGATGAACTTAAACACGAATTATTCAACCTCTCTTTGAAATCGGAGATTTCACCATCAATAAATCATAATAATGTGACTGAAATTTCTGAGACAGCCTATCCCGGAAAAGTTACCTATGATAACATTGATGAAGCCTTACAACATCTAGCTCAATTATATGATAAAGCTATCGATGCCGAAGATAGGGCAAATCAAGCTAATCAGAAAGAAATTTTATGTTGGTGCCTCTACTGGAAGGATTTCAAAAATTAGCTTAATGAGATTATCAGAAGCAATGGTGATAAATTTGATGAAAAGAAGGCGAGAGGTATGCTTTATGATACCATC